AAATTATAATGAATCCAATTAGTTTAAACATTAAGTTACGTTTTAGGGCAATGATCTGGCGACAGACCGATTAATTTATTGCTTCATTCGTAATGTGGATGGTATAAGAATCGCAAATATTCAGCCGGGGTTGTGGATAACGTGCAATTATGTGTTGCGGTCCTGACCTGGAGCAGGAGACGGAAAGAAGGGAGGGTTTATTTGAGTCAAAACGACTGTGACACTACATTTTGCAGAAATAGCAATCTAGATTACATAAGATTAAAACGAATTCTTGTATCCAGCGGTACCTATTTTATTCCAATACTCAATAGTCAATATCATAAGTAAATATAAAGGTTGTAATAATTTGTGTGAGATCAAGTATGGACCTTGCAGGGCACATTAATAGCGTATAGGACCCCACCTATTTAAATGAGTCTAAAATATTTAGATATTAATACTCTATGATTTAAAAACTTTTTACTAAGATTTCCGTAGCTCTCGTTTGTCTATCACAAATCAGATCAAAATGTATTATAGAATAAATCTCTCCTCTTATTTTGGAAAAGAAAGCCAGGTAGTAAACTCAATTCCTCATCATAACTTTCACAAGATGTCTTCTGCTAAACATAGACTTATCCCTATGACTTCCAGACTGACTTCCATATGTTATACAGGAACTTGAACATTTCCTACATATTTTTATAATAACTATCGTGAGACATACTAAATTAACTAAAAATCGCGGGTTACTCACGTGTGTAATTGAGAAAAGCTCTACTAGTTTCGAACCACAGAGGGGTTAGCCGGGGTTGCGGGGTAAGCGCAATGAGGTACCGCGACCTCGGCACAGAGCAGGAGAAGGAACAGGGGTTTTTTAGTCAGTAAGAGTCTGACTCTCCCTCCTGCCCGGCCCTGGGCGGGAGAAGTCATTTGATGATTTTCCCCTCACAAAAAAAAGAGGGGTTCTTCCTCATGAGCAGCGTGCGCGGACGCGGCGACGTCGCGCACCCTACCTAGTATTTGTGATTTTTAGTTAATTTCCTACATCCTGATTACTTACACTATCATTAGCAAAGTCATGCTTATGTATCAAAACTATCTCGTCTTCTACAAATCTATCGCGCGACGAACAGACAAGCTATATCTATCTCTATCTAATCTGCTCGTGTCCACCCACTGAAAGGCCGCCTTTCTTATCTTCCAATACGTTCAGTTACTCAGACAAAATAAGGTTTATATTGAGTCTGATCTACATAACTTCGTAGGTGCTGTGAGATAGGAAAAATGGCAGATTTTAGTCTTGTTTGTAAAGGCTTCGGGATTTAAAATGTTCTTAAAGTAAAGTAGACGGATGGCAGAGTAAAGAGGTTATTAATATCACTTGTACCTTTATTCTTAGAATCAATTAAGGCACTGCACAATATCATTAAGTACATAGTAGAAAACAGAGTCGTCCAAATCCCTAATCCCTGAAAGGTCGGCAACGCTCTCGTAACTCCTCCGTTGCGGGTGTCCATGGGCGGCGCTGATTGCTTACCATCAGGTCAGAATCCGTCTGATCTGATTGCCGAAATATTACATAAAAAAATATGCCTAAATCTTTTAAACTACTCAACGAGTTGTGATTGCAGAGGAAGTTTTATATAATAATATGTATGTTTAATAACATCCATTAAATAGTAGAAAAATTTAGTATCAGCGTTAAATCCGTACGAAGATAGGTTTAATTAACAGACTCTGGGCCGTTGAGATTTTTAATTTCTGATCCACCTCTTGCATGTATAGATAACGAAAAACTCCATTAGAGATACGTAGAGAACACTGCTGAATTACATTTGTATAATTCTATCAAGTCCAGCAGTGGTGAGGACTGCCCCGGTCTTCGTCTTTTTTCTTTGTTTTGGTCTTTACGAAGAGACATTTCGATATGAACACCCAAGGTTTCTTATACTTGGTAGATTGTAAAGCAGTTTGCAGCTGTACTATATTCATATTCAAATCAGTAAAGCCCTGCGAAAAATGAAATGATTTAGAACTTAAATCACTAGATAATCTTTCCTACAGTACTTATAAAAAAAATTGAAATAATACAATATACCGTATTTACCTAGCTCTATTTATGTATCTGAAACTGCACTTCTATCTATATTCTTATAAAACTCGTTTTCAATCCCTATTCACTTTATAGGAAACCAAAAAACAGAACAGTGTGTTTACCGTAAACTTTTGAAAAACAACTGATGAGTTAATTCATGTTTAAAAGTGACAGTGACATTTCAATAATGTGACAGCAGCTGTCATTTTGAAAGAAAGATGGCGTCGTTTGGTGTTTTTCGGTTCTTGGTGCTGTTGGCTGCGTTAGTGTGGATCCTGGCTGATGAGAGGAATGAGACACGGAGACTTTATCCCTGGACCAATGGCAGTTGGTTGTAAGTACCAAAGCATTTGAATATTTTTCAAGAACTGGATTATAATTCTCTTCTCTTTTGTCTTTTAAAAAAAGTTTTAAGTAGATAGCTAATTTATTGTAAGTAGCTGCAACTTTTCCCGATTATTTATAAGTGCGGTTATTATTATTATTTTGTTCTTCAAGCAAAAAAATATTTGAAATCTAATCGACAATCCATAGACTAGTCTGTAAAAACGAACGAACCAAAAAGAAATGTTCTATCCACGTACTGTATTTTAATTATTTGAAGTATTTTCGTTTCATAGCCTACTCTTGGAGTAAATAGGTATAGGTATATAATCAGGTAATACGTGTGCTCGTTTGCCGACATATCACATAGGGCGAAATACAATCACAAGCAATCGTTAAGTACTTATTTCACGTTGGTTTTCTGTGTGAGCCAAGTTTTATTCTGGTCGAGCATTTTTCTAATTCTAACGCTTAATAGCATTCAAATAAACTTTCCTTTTTGTATTACGAGTACCTAGTTTATTGGATGTAGTACTTACCTTTATATAAACTACCTATACATATTTTATTGCCAGTCTAGACATGTCTCAGGTGGCCTAAGCTTCAATAAACTCACGTTTTTTATGACGTCCCATGGCGTGACGACGATTGAATTGGTAGTTGAAATAAAACTCTTTAAATAAATAAATGACGATGTGTACCTACAGTTTTCTTCTGTGAATATGTTATCCAAACTAATATTATAAATGCGAAAGTAACTTACTTCTTTTCTTCACGCCTAAACTACTGAACCGATTTCTGTGATATTTGGGGCAGATATAGTTTGGAACTCCAGAAAGGACATAGGATAGTTTTTTTACCAAAAATCTACAGGAAGTCACTATTCCACGCGAACGAAGTCGCGGGCAAAAGCTAGTTGATTTATATCATGATGTTGGAGTAAAAGTCATTTTATTCTGTGATCTTCTCTTTCATCGGGCGTCGTAAGCACTGGTCGGCAAGCAAGGGTAGCTTAGCGCTCGACCCGAAAACTAGCCCCGAGTGCACGGCGCGTAGCGTTCCGCGCGCGTCTCATGCCTCCTCTACACGTAGGCGGACGCGTCCGCCGATGCCATCGGCGGACGCGTCCGCCTACGTGTAGAGGGAGTGATTTGCTCGTCTGTGGTAGGTATTTGACGTCGGCAGACGCGTCCGGCACTTATCCGTTTGTTGTCGGTTTTTGTTGCACGGATCAAAGGGATCTGGCGCGGGCGCCCGGCGCGAGCGTGCGGTGTGTCCACACGTCTGACGACGCATCAGTGTTCCAGCCTAGCGCAACTTAGAAGAAAAATAAAAATGTATGGGCTTGGCACGGCAAATAATGGCACACGGAAGTAGCCGGATATTGCCATCCCACTCCCTCAGTACAGTTCTCTTTCTTTCACTAATCCGTCGGCCATTTTGTTTGAAGTTTTGAACTTTGAATGTCGTTGCTTTTGTAAGTTTATGTTGTTATTTTCATAATTTCATAAATTTACGTATAATTTGTTTAGTTAATTAGTTGTTAGTGATACGGCTGTGACTAGTTACGTGTTCAAGTAAAATGCCACCAAAAAAACGGTTTATAACTTGTGAAATCTGCGGAGGACGATCCGGTCGTAAAAATGGCGAGAAAAGGATGTTTATGGCGAAATTTCCTTTGGATGAGGACCGGTAAGCATTAAATGATATAATTTTGTTTAATTCTAAGTATAAAAGGCTACAAATACATGTAAATTGATTTTCATGTACTTATTGTGTACTAGTGATGTACCTCAAGTATCGATAGTCACAGACTTATGTGTGGGCTAAACTCCAAAGATCCCTTGATTTATTTATTCTTTCGTGATTTACTTTCCAGACCACACCAAAGAAGTAATGATGTTATTAGATGTTGTTGAACAAAGTTGTGACACGACAAACCCAGTAGATTTTAAGAAATTAATGATTAAAATAAAATAAAATTAAACGTAGATAAAAATTTATGTATACTGTATTTGTAAAATTTATGCATTTATTATATAAGGAACGCCAGCTGTTAACACAATTTAGAGTTATTCATGTCAGAGACTGTCCATTTTGAATTTTTCTATTTTTCAGGTGCCGGCAGTGGGTGAAAGTTGTTGGCAAAGAAGATTTAGTGTATGTAGAACCAATTTACTGAACCAATATATGTATTAAGTATTAGAGTCCACTTAATTTAAATAATTTTAGTTAGGTCCTTAACACACCGTCCGTATATAACATGAATTTGAATATTATTACAAAAATATATTTTTTAGTTTTTAATATAACACAATGTTTTATTTCAAATCCGAACTTCTATCTTAAAGATCGAAACTAAAAATTAAAAAAGTAATATGACCTCGATTTCTACCCTATAAATATTATCGATATCGATACTAAACCTAATATACAGCTACCACAGAACTATTTGGTCTTTTAGGTTGGTACTATTGATTTTGACGGCTGACATCTTTTATTTATTGCAATGTAGGTATTAGAGTGCCGTGTAAATTGATTCCACTGGCTTGTATGGGAGTCCCGTCTCTTAAACGTAGTGGTTACATACTCTTTGCAGTGTTCAGCGGGAAGCGAGTGAGAGTGCACGCGTGATTTTCGCCGTTCTTTTTTACCTACCGCCGTTTTTTTCTTGCTTGTTGAAATGGCAAACATGAGCACAGAGGAAACATTTAAATTTCTGGAGCTGTATCAAGCAGAAAACTGCCTGTGGAATCCCAAAAATAAATACCACAAAAATAAAAATGTTGTAAGTACACAATTCATTCATTTTATTTAACTATCTACTTACAAATTCAGTTGAGTTTACTGTAAATTGGTTATTAGATATTAACAATGTGGTATTTTGATCGTGTTAACGCGACACACGACAACTTATTTTGACCACCTGTTATTATGCCCATTGATATAACCACAATGATTATACTTACTTATTTTATTTTTTCAGATTAATGATTCATGGAAACGTATTGCTGATACGATGGGCATTCCAGTGCATGAGTTAAAAAAGAAAAAAGATAATCTTCTTAGTACATTTAGAACGAATTTAAAAAAAAGAAATGCATCCATTCGGTCAGGGGCGGGAACAGAGGATGTGTATCAGCCCATATGGATATTTTACGATGTGATGGCTGCGTTTTTAACAGATGTTTACGAATCCACAAGTATTCTAAATACAGAGGAAAAAGTAAGTAAAAATAAAACATTCTTTATTTTTGGATTATTTATTTATTTGAGTAGCCAACACAACATACATTTCTATATACTTATCTTAAATTTATAGGTATTTAGATACTACTAGATTACTAGGTACTTTTGAATTAATGGTTATTCTCGTTAATATATCTGGTAAATTTTAATCGCGTTTCAACTGCACATGCAGGCGCTCTTCGAGGTATAGGTTGCAGTGGATCGAATGTTCCCGTGTAATTTTGTCTCCAAGACCCTGGTTGGATTAATTCTCCATTGAGATACTTATCTTCTGAATTTGGGGGACTGTACAAATGTTGAGATGTTTTACTTTTTCTTAAGAAATTGTGTAACAAGACACATGTCATTGTAATTAAAGATGCTTTAGTGATATTCAAGGGTATAGGCTTTTTGAAAATTCTGAATACGCTAGACATTATACCAAAAGTATTTTCGACTGCTACACGCGAACTAGAGAGCTTTTGATTGAATAATCTCTCTGGAGTACCAAGAGCGTGATGCCCTGGAAATGGTTTCATAATATGTGTACTCAATGCAAATGCGGCATCAGCTAAAAATACGTAGGGTAAGCTTGTATTACTATTGGGTAAGCAACTAGGAGAAGGCAAGTTGATCACATTTGTGTCAATTTTTTGCTTTAAAACACTTTGATTATAGACTCCACCATCGCTAATTCGCCCTGGGCAACCTATATCTACAAACATAAAGCAGTAGTCACTATCAACTAGTGCTAAGAGTACAATACTGAAATGCCCTTTATAATTGAAGTACTCCGTTGCGGTATTGGGTGGCGGTAGAATCATGACATGTTTCCCATCTAAAGCGCCAATACAATGAGGAAAATTAAATCCTTTTGCCTTTGCAAGCCATTCATCCGTAGTGTTAGGTATCTGAAAATAAAAATATATAGTCAATTTAAAAAAAAAAACGCTGGTTTGCTCTTTAATGTAATATTATTATTTAAATATATTTTTATTGAATTTTTTCTTTCCCAGACACAACCTGATTTGTATGAAGAGGGTAGCGCTTCTAACGTGCAGGTTAGTGATAATATTCCGGATGCTAAAAACGAAGACCATAATGATGCCAACATCCCTACTACATCTCAAAACAAACCAATTATTCAGTCACAAAAACGTCGTGCTAAAGATCCACCCGAAATGCAAGAAGCCAATAAAAAAATGAGTACTGCTTTTACAGCATTAAATAAAGCATTGGCTAACAAAGAAAACATAAAAGAAGAAGACGAATGCGATTTATTTTGTAAAATGTTGGCAAAACAAATAAGGGAGTATCCAAAACTTGAAAGGGAAGAAATAATGTACGAGCTTCATGGTGTTATGATGAACAGACGTCGTCGTTACAACACGATGCAGGGTAGATCATATGCTGTTTCTTCTCCTTCACAAATAATCCTCAGTCGACCTAGCACGAGCAACAGCATGTATCCATCAACACCGTCACCTATATACGTAGTAGACTCCCCCCATTCAGTTCAGTCACCACCACAAAATATGGCCAATCAACAAACCGAAATGGTTAACATTATTTCACAAGAAGTACTTGTACCACAAACAAGTAAAATGTATTACGAAAGCTGTTTAAATATGACGGACGATAATAACACCGATCACCCTTAATTTGTCAAAGCAAACTGAAAGTACCTACTTACCTATTTGTCAAAGCAAAGTTTTTTGTAAACTGTTGATTATTCATTACAATACAATTAATAATAAAGATTTTGGATTAAATTATGTGGTTTACCTTCACTAAATCCTTTAACACGTTATTGAGCGCTAAACATACTTCAGGAACAATAATGGATATAACTTGGCTTGAAATTTTAAACAGGTAATGCAAGCTTCTATAGCTATCACCAGTAGCTAAATATCTTAATGTTACTGCCAAACGCACTTTCACTGGAATGGCATCCCTCCAATCTGTATCTTTTTTAGCAATCGTTGGAGATATCTTTTGTAGTAAATATTCAAAATCGCTGCTAGACATTCGAACAAAATTATTAAATTCTCCAGAGGGCTCTGCATATAGTTCTGCAAACTGGTTTTCCATGCTATTCCTGCGAAGAAACAGAGTAATGTAAGAAGTCGTTACCTACGTTAAAAAAAACTTTTTAGAAAAGAGAACCGACTTCAAAAACACTAACCCGTAAGAATATCCAAGTATATTGCCGAAGGTCATCATTAAACTAAGAAGTATTATATACTATAACCTCTACCTAAATGTAACAAATTTATGAAAACCGCAAACATACATACAAACATACAGGTCAAACTGAGAACCTTCTTTTTTTGAAGTCGATTAAAAAGCGTACAAGTTATATTATGAATAAAAAAATCCCACTTACTTTGTTCGGTTTCTATGTATAGTCAGCATCCACCACCTTCTTCTTCTCCATTTTTTTTTAATAACCCTATTGCGATAGACGCTTAAATAATACTTGTAAGTACAAAATAAATTAATAGCTGCGGCAGCAACGGTCTCGATATCCATTCTGCGTGCGTATGTGTTGCATCTGACGAGAACCAACATAGACTGAACGACCTGGCGACGTGTGGACGGCTCGTAGAGATTCATCTGCGGATGCGTCTGCGGACGTCTGCAGACAAATCTGTCTACGTGTAGAGGAGGCATCATAGAGCCAACAGACCATCACATTAAGGGCCCAATAGTGCTGATGTTCAGCCGGAGTTGCAGGTTAAGCGCAATAATGTACAACAGGAAAAATAATGGGGTGGTGGTAAGTTAGTTAGAGTCTAACACTCCCTCACGCCTAAACTTGGGTGAGTGAATTCAATTGATAACATTATACCCTTAAAAACAAATGAATTGTTACATTTGACAGTGTCCGGACAGCAGCGCTCTCCTTATAGTAGGTAGTCGACCCTCGCAAAGATCCATTTGGGATATAATTGTGATAATGTATAATGTAAGGTGCGTTGGGGTAAGATCGGCGCTGGGGAAAGAACGTACAAATCAAATATCCCATTTATTTGGCAATATTTTTTAATGCTAGCCACATTGTGCGTGACGTCATTATGTTCCGCCCCGCCCCGCACTGATCGCCAGTTGCTCCGAGTGCTCGGACGTGTAGTACGTGCCGATAGAAATAAAAAGATAAGTTTTACGAAATATATATTAATCCGGTCTTTCCCCTTGATTTGTTTTTGTGTATTTTGACAAAAATATAGCTTATTTTGATATAATTGTGGCTAAATACTAAGTTTTTAGCAGTGATAATCCGATAAAACGAATCCATAAATGCCTACTATCACTTTAAGCTGAAATCCGGTGTTAAACATCTCGGGTAAAGATCGGAAGAAAATCATCCGGTCTTAACCCGTTTCGAAATAAGCAGTGTTTGTCAAACTTTTATCAAGTACCTATGATTTAACTACTGTACAAACATGACTTTAGAATATGCTTTATTTTCGTTTGATACACACGTTTGTTCGAAATTTATTTGGTTAAAAGTTTTGTTTTGTGTATTTTTTTTATTCTAGATAAGTAAGAAGTATTTTTTGTGATTTACTTAAAAACGTCCCAGGGGATATGGAACTTAAGTACGTAACTGTAATTGAGATGTTCAGATTTGCGTCAGGAGTCATTACTTTAGAATCGTACCCATACTAAACTACCTAAGTAACAGTACCACGACGGTGTCATAAAAAATCAAAGTTAATTCAACTTTAAATTCAGCAAAAATTCAAGGTCACTTGGTCTTCGAGGGGACTAAGGGGGTTTTTGCACTTTTTTACTGTTTCCTAATATTCGATATGACTGTGACCTGGAGGCTAACCATGACGTTCAAAGTAAGATTGTTTATAACAATATAAATAGAGACAGAGCTAGACAACTTATATAGCTCTTTCTCTTACCCACTTCTTTAGTTTTAATAAATATTTGTCATTATTGAAGTTTAATTGAGATTTTATCTTCACTAAACTGTTTGTAACAACGGGCAATTCCTTGATTGTTAATAAGAATTTCTTAATTATTTACATTGCAGAAATTTGTTTTCATAAAGCACAAAATTATTTCATTCCATGATTGTGACAATTTTATTGTAATATTAAAATTTTCTGCTGTCTAACACACTTTTTTCATTACGGTACCTATATGCGAATTCAAAAAACATACCTAAACCTTTTCGTTTCTGGCACTTCTCTTTCCCAACCATAAAATACCCATTCCAATATTTTAAGGACGCGTTAACATACGCTTATTTTATTTGGTAGTATCCTTGAGTATAAACCTAAACTTTGAGAATCTCAATTTCTTCTAAATTCGGTACCTGGGGCAAGACCGGACAGTTTAAACCAAAAAAATAAAAAAATATTTGGTACATCCATGTTTGCCATAGGTAAGTTTGGATGATATTATTTTAAAGAACAAGAAAGATCGGATGCATTCTTATTATACACCTTGTGCTCCAAGCAATAGAAACAGTATTTAATCGTCGTCCGAACTTGCCCCTTCAAAGCCAAATCGTCATTATAGTAAAAAAAAATATGGCTTGATTTAACATGCTTATAAAACAAAAAGTATCTAATACTTGTAAATAGATTAAAAATATAATTATATTTAGTTTAATAAGTAACAATCTCCACTATTTTTTAATAACGTGGTGTATACCGAATTAGAGAAAAAAAAGTTTTTGCAACACCCTTCCAACTATCCAAAAATTCGTCCGGTATTACCCCAACGCACCTTATTGTTTTAAGAGAATCATAATTTTTTTCATAGTTTGTAATTATTAGCTGTAACTAGGTACCTAAATGATTTTTTATGCCAGTGCAATGCTGCTGACGGCACGCAGAAATCGTTGCATATTGTCAGGTACATATGAAATTACTTGTCAACTGTAAATAATATTCCCAAAAACTGGAAATCTTGCGCTACACTTTACAGGCTATAATAAATATGACTTACATATATCTCTAAATAATCCAAACTCAAAGAAACGCACTGTTAAAAAGTGTAAAACAAAACTTTTATTTGATACTTCTTAAAACTTTAAAACCTCCAAATTTCCCGACTTCCCTCGTTTTTTTAAACACTACCAAATACACCTTGGTAAGGCACTTGGGCCAGCCCGCTGTACCCAGTTTTCAGAACCCATGCTTCAAAAATGTTAGGATTGCGTAGTTAAAGAACCTATTTAAATCAATAAATTGCAACCATTTTATTAGCACAGACGGTAGTGTGAGTTTAGTGTGAGGCCGGGTGTGTCCTTCCTAGCTCCATACAGCCAAAACTCGTAACTCAATGAAGTGAGCCGACTGCTAATGAACGATAATGTAATTGTTTCCTGAAAATAAAATACAAAACGCCTAGTTAAAAAATAATAGCAATATGTTAGTTATGTGTATTTACCGCGATGTAATGTTTAGGCGCACTACCATTACCTATTATTATAATCAAATTAAAATACTATTTAAATAGCGTATTTCGAAAAAGAAATCTCATTCATTTTTAACTAATTTGGCACTAAGTAGTCATTAAATTAAATGTCCTATATAAATATAAATAATAGTATTTTCTAGCGCCTATACACAATTTTCATGCAACATATTTTAGTGAGGACAGCATTTACTTTTTAGGCGTCACAAAAATAGCGATATATTCAGTTAATCCAAAATGGTTCTTAAAATTAGTATTAACAAGGTACAATATTAAACTCACCTGTAAAACTCCACCTTCCATAATATACCCCTCACTCGTTGGTCCGTTTATAAACAGGATCACTTTAAAACCAGTTATAATGTAATCTTCATCATCATCGTGTAAAATGGTCTGAAATTAATAAAAGCAATCAATCAATTATAAAGTACCAAGACTTGTTTTAATTATGCTTATTGAGTAAGTATTGAGTTGAGATGCATGCACATATTCCGACAGGAGTTATCCGTCGTAAGATTTGAATAAGGAACTAGGTACTAAAGGTTCTCTGACTATCCTGAACCTTTTAAACTGCTATCTTAAACGCTCCTGCCAATCAAGGCAGCAAGCTTTTGTGTAGAAGATGCATCATATCATAACCCACGATGAACAATTACAGGCTGTTTATAATGATATATTGATGATATTGTTGTAAGTTGTAACACATACATAAGTACTATTTTTCTTTTTTTTAATATTTCCTCACACTAGCTAGGTATGTCTTCTGTGTCGCAGGTGCATTTACAAACATGCAATGTTTAAAACTTGTTGTTCCGACTGTGGGTGTGCCACAGTCGGAACAACAAGTTTTAAACATTGCCTCACATTAGGAATTTCTCCTGTGTCGTGGGTGCATTTATTTAAAAAACATATAATGTCTCATATACATCACACCCAGACCCGGAACAACAATTTGTAGATTATACAAAGTGTTGTTCCGTGCGCTAATCTAAACCACGATATGTTGTGCGGCAGCCAGTTGCCCAGGCCCCGCCCAAAACGTGCAGTATATTCATCTATGGCATAGGACTGTAAACGAGGTTATATAGGTACAACCTGATGGGAAGCAATGTGCGCCGCTCATAAATACCAGAAGAGCTACCAAGTGCGCTGCCCCACTTTTGTGGGGGTTGAAATTGGTTAAATTGGGGACGAGGGCAAAGGTTCGGGTCTCCAGTAACTTTAGTCACACGACGAAAGAGTTTTCTCTCGTTTTGTAAAGCCATGCATGGTCCATTCTGGCATCGCACCAGTAAAGCCGTTAGTGCTGAAGCATAACTCTCCCACATATTCCCAATAGAATAAAATACAAACAAAAACAAATCAGGAGACCTTAGTTATTGTACCTCTTTATCATCGGGTGGATATCGGAGTGTGAGGTTCACGTCTTGCTGAGGAAACGTCCAGCCGTTCGAGCCGTACACCATCAAATGACTGCCTGTCGAAAGAGATGATGATTTAAAAACTAATTAAACTAATTTAGCAGACAGAGTTTAAATATACTAACGAGATTAATGGTTAGCTCTTTGATTTAATGTCTTCATTTCTTATTGAAACTGTAGTTGTAGGGTTGTCATGAAGTAAGGGTAGCTCGCTGCCCGACCAGAACCAGACCCGAGCGTACGGCGCGTAGCGTTCCGCGCGCGCCTCATAGACCCAATAGACCACCACAGACGGGGCTTATATTATATGGGGCTGGTGTTCAGCCGGAGTTGCGGGGTAAGCGCAATAAGGCACTACAGCCTCGGCCTAGAGCAGGAGAAGTAACGGGAGTGTTTTAAGTCAGTAAGAGTCTGACACTCCCTCTTGCGTAACCCTGGGCGACAGAAGTTAGTTGATGATTTTCTCCTCACAAAAAAGGGCCAGAGATTACCTCTTAAAACGACAGACTCGTAACTTTAGCTCTTTATATAGTTATGTAACAAATTGTTAAAGAAGTGTAGTACTACAAAAACCAAGCGAGATAAGTAAGTACCTTTGGTTGAATAGGTAATTTACAAGTACATATACCTATATATTACCCAGAATTATATTTTATGACAATTTTATTTGATAGCAAATAACGAAATGTCAAAATATATATTAATCTTATTGATAAGTCCATTCTGATTGCACAATAAGCTGGATGATTTTCATTTGTTATATTTCCACTGTAAGTAAATCGCTCATCTTGCTACTTTCTGGCACTTTCATTTAATAGGTTTTCGTCTTTATTACAAGAATAGTACAGTTGAAAATTTATTTATCAGGCCACAGGTTGTGTTGATGTTGTCTGTTTTTCAATATAATCGCTTGTCAAATTGATATCTATATCAGTTTTGGTGGTCTGACGTCATAATATGATGAGACTGGCAGATTCATTTTTGTACCTACGAGTATCTACTATCTGCGGAAGTCCTTTCATATTTTTACTGCGTTAAAACAAATATCACACTTGCATAGTGGAAATAATACTTTTCCTTAAATAACTAGATTCGCAGAAGTAAAACTACATGACCAACCCTAGGAGAGGAGAATAAGTATATTAAGCTCGGGCTAGAAGGAACGGGGAGATTTTTAGTCAGTAAGAGTCTGACACTGGGGTTGCGGGGTAAGCGCAATGAGGTACCGCGACCTCGGCACAGAGCAGGAGAAGGAACAGGGGGTTTTTTAGTCAGTAAGAGTCTGACATTCCCTCCTGCCCGGTTCTGGGCGGGAGAAGTCATTTGATGATTTTCCCCCACAAAAAAAAAAACCACTCGCCATACCCTGGGCAACGGAAACTATACATTATTTTCTATCATAAAAAAATGGGTCGGCCAGCACATACGCCTACCGGAGTTATCGCTCAGGTACCAAATCCTAAATAATATGTGCGAGGATGCCGATTGATTATCGAAGTCCGATAATCTACGACTTTTAAAATCTTAATCGACTGTAGACGATCTTACGCCTGGTTTTCAATTGGTAACTCCAGAGAATAAGGGAGATCTTCGCGTTTTAAACTTATTCTGCACTCACAATTGGGTAGTGTCCTAGGTCAAAAATAAATTAATTCGGAGTTTTAATACAATAAAATATTGAAAAATAACTATACTTTTATTCATCGATCGATCGATACACTAAGTTTTAGATTTTTTTAGCTCATTGTTCAGAAATAAGTAATCTATTTGACGCAAAACTGTTATGACGTCATACCTCAGTTTTTCATACAAATTTCATAGAAAAGTATCGTTTTTGACATTTGGATAAGAGTTTTGAATTTGACTAGTTGGAAACTACCGTATTGGTTTAAGTAGTTATAGGTTGGTAGGAACCTATGTAGGTAGACTAGGGTCCATCCAAAGGTTTTCTGGAAGAAATCACCCTGTGTGATAAGACCGCCCCTTGTACGCTCTGTGGTCGTAACCCTGTTCTGTGTTAAATTTTTCATGGTGTGCACCATAAAGAATAGGTATGTAAATAAGCAAACTGTTGAGTCACCGTAATTGGATTACACGTCATTTTAAAATTTACTACGGTTTGTCGATAGCAAAATTGAAACTAGGTAACCAGAAATTATAAGGCAGACGTAATTACATTCATCAGTAAACCAGACAGCAAAAATACTGTCGTGTCGCTGTGACACATTTAATAATATTGCTATTACTATCTATCAGTAAAGTTCAAACAATGGATGGATTATGCGTGTGTGAGATAGTACCTGCGCAATTTTCTAATCAATTACGCAAGCCAGTCTGTATTTTTAGCTACTTCAGATTTTCTTTGACTAGGGTAGCAGTATTTTGTAGATTCTAAAAAAATCAGTAGGTACCTAAATCGATTGAACTTACACGCCATCTACCAAGTTGAAATGAACGCCATCTAGGTACTTAGTTCAAAAACAAGAACTAGAATACAAAAAAATAAAAAAAATACGTATGAAATAGGCCTACGTATGATATAAACCGTTATTACACTAAATACCTACTTTTTGTAATATTTTGTAAATAAATTTTAAAAACACATTCGATGTTTTTCGATATTGTGATTATTCATACTGAGATAAGAATGATAGCTAATCAACGAAACCAGGTAGCAGTGTCATTCTGTGTGTGTTAGAGTAATATACTCCGAAATAGGTATTGTTCTGTGAACGGTGAAACTGTACCCTCAGTCAAATTGTTGCAAATAGATAAGATTGTATAAGGAAATAATAACATACCTAGTAGGTACGTAGGTATCTAAATATTTACTACATTCGAATTTTCAAAAAAAATTTAACAAAAAATCCCAAAAAAAAAATTAAGTGTCAATATGCAAGTATCCAAGTTATTTTGTAATTTTAAAATTAATAAAATTATAAGTGTTTATGACGTTCTAATTTCAAATCTTTGTCCTTGTTTTGGGCAACTATTTTTCCGCGCGATTTTTGTATTTATTTACTTTGATTTGAAGAAAGATAAAATAATAACGAACTTACCTTCTATCATGGAGTCCAAGGAGCAGTAATATCTGTTGACAGTCTGGTGGACAGTGGAGTCGACCCGTCGCGCCGCCCCATTGGACTGACCAACCATGTTGGGGTGGTTTCCGAGGAGTTTCCCTACATTATCTTTATCTAACGATTCAACTTCAGGGTCCAAAAGCTTAATCCGTTCACAGCGCACACAAGCCACATAAAATACAGAAACACATATTATTAATATTATAATATTCCCATTCATTACGTTACTGATATGTGTAAACTAAAACGGCGAGCATATCGTCCGCGTATTAAATGGAAGATTAATTAGTTCTGATTAAGAATGTAATTAAAATAATATTTAGTGATAAAATATTGATATTTCGGTGATAAAGTATCCGTGATCGGTGGTGCTGTTATCGTATTCTGTGGCAGAATGTACCTACTCAGCATGTATGGCGATTAGTGCATATCGAAGATTAGATTGGACAATGTTATACCTCTCGCATTGTGAACAACTAAACCATATTCCAAGTTGTTTGGGTGTACCAAACAGCAGATAAATGAATATTAGCAATTGATAATGGATATTAATCAACGGGGTTAGATATTGATAGAGCAGACTTCCTCATTGGTTCATTGATCGGCTACGATACGATTGTACTACATAGTAATATTGTTTTTAGAGTATGGCGAGAGTAGTCTGACCCGTCAGACTACTTGACCAAAAACAACCCTGTTCCTTCTCCTGCTCTAGGACGAGGCCGCGGTACCTAATTTCGCTTTAACCCCAGCTAAACATCGGCCCTGTTAGGCTCTATGTGTGGTGGTCTATTGGCTGTGTCGTTTTGAGACGCGCGCGGAACGCTACACGCCGCACGCTCGGGTCTGGTTCTGGTCGGACGGCGAGCTACTCTTGCTCGCCGACCGCAGACAAGCGCTTACGGTGGCATAGTAATATTGCTTGTGTTCCTTAATTTATGTAGTTTTACAGATCCTACACCTCAACTTGATTGGACATAGCCTAATTGATATTTGCAAATTTCAACAATAGATTTGTCAGCACCATCTGTATAATAGTAAGAGTAACTTAAATTGTAAACAGTTTTAACACGAAATCTAATCTATGCATACTAAAGAGTAAAGTTCGAAAAGAATAAAACGAACAAAGCCGGCTACCTACTTAATTACAATCATTCATAAAAATGCCGGTCTCACCATCCATTACCGACTTACTACACGAAATCCCCAATAAAAACTTCAGATAAATATTCAAAGTTTATGAGACAATAAATGGACGCATGCATAACGCAGCTTCATAAGTGAATAATTAATAGAGGCTACGAACCGGTCCGGACAACAAAAACCTTACCGATATCCCTTTTCATCTCATTAGCCCTACTTAAACATTATTACGACCCATTATAATCACGCGCCTTCAAAGACGTGGTAACTTATGGTCTATGGTCCATACTCTATGGATTTATAGACGTGATAATGTATACTTTACGGTCGTTACGACGTTTGGTACCATAATGTTTTGTCTTTACTTATCTGTGGTTTTATCGGCGCTGTAAACTATGTGTGAAGAGGCTCCGTTGATTTCGTATTTAAACAATGTTTTATTAAATGCTATAAATCTTTTTAGATTTGTATTTTTTTAACCAATTTAGTATAAAGAAGACTGACAGTACCTATATTTTATTAAGAATCAATTGAGAACAAAATATTCAACGAGGAAACGGAAGGCTAGCCAGCATTTTTTTTAAATTAGAAGTAACATAATGCAGTAAGTTACTGTCAAGAAACATCATGATAAGATACATATTACTATGATAGATGGGCTAATGATTATTAATCACTCTCCCTCTTGATAATTGTTTTAATCCTTGCGATTAAAACAGGCTAATTAAAATTATTAATGATTAAATATATCTATAATTTGTAATATATAATCTGCACTAATGGGTCGTCTCAACCGAAGTGATACCACGGCCTTACAGAAAATAATAGTGAAACAAAACTATCGTTGTGTTTCGCCGTGTCAGTGAGGCTACCGGAGGCCCAGTTATTGCCCCCTCCTATCCTCATCCTCAAACCTTTAAATGATGAATCCCTAATAACACACACGAGGCCGGTAACGCAGTTGTAGTAGTTCCTTTGGTACTACGAGTGTCCATGGGCGGCACTGATTGCTTACCATCAGGTAATTCTGATGCTCGTCTGACGACCTACAGAATAAAAATATCTTCATAATTGTTACCAATAAGATGACCCTTTAAGAACTCATAAACATGTTACTAATCCATAACTTAATCATTGGTCGTTTAAACTATTCCAAATCGCCAAAACAATTAGATTACGAAATCACTAGGCGCCCATTAACAGTTTATAAATACCCCGCGACAATTTTAATTCTCGAACACATCAATCAAAGATGGCTGCCAAAGTCCTGTTGAGTATTCTACTACTATCAATTTCTGTGTCCCTGGTACTTGCAAGAGCACGTGGCAGTCTTTCGATTGGCAATACTTTTGGGAGCCATTTGATTTATCAAGAAACTCATTATAAATACGCCGTTCCGTTTATTGTAAGAGATGGAGATATCACAGTAAAAGGGGTTAATAGTGAAATTATAGCTGCAGTGACAGTGAATGATTTGCAAGGAATGGGATTGTGTTACGTCAAGGATGGCGGCATAGGACAACATAACGTGACCATACATTTGGAAAGCTCAAGGGGTCATGGCTACAAGTTTTTGGTGGAAGTCTACGCTATATAAAAATAAAAATAATACTAAGCTCCTTGTTTCTTTATTTAAAATACTTGATTGATTTGGTTTTCCAATTAAGATCATTTTTATTTTTCTTAGTAAGATAAGCTTATTTTGTATAGGTAATATGAAATTGTACGTTTCTAAACGCCATCTGACGAAGTCAATAAAAAGCTGTAATGTAAAACAAAGCGTTATTTTTTATTTACTACTTTTAAAAGAGAGTAATAATGTTATAGAAACTTTTTACAGAGGGCTATCTGATACAAAATTCATTTCCAATAAATAACCAATCGTGCAATGTCAAAATGAATGAAACAAACTACGTATTAATTATTTATTCCTACCAATATTGAACCTCCATCAATATTGTAGTCATCGATAATTACAAACTAAATATTTTGATGTAATTTCGTAGATAAATTATTATATTTCGTTTTCCATCTCTATCGATAAAGAGATCAAAGATAATAAATTGGATTTGAAAAATGAATTTGTTCAAAGAAAAATAAAATACAATTGGAACTAAAAACTATGTTTTTAACATTCTACTCAAACGTTTTGTTCCAGTTGTAACATAAGACAGACAGGTTAAAAAGTGTCAGGCTGTTTGGTTTACCCTATTGAAGCTAATTGCTCGTTCCAAAGTAACATTTCTATGGAGAAGAACTAGCAAAAACTCCATGGTTGCTTTTCTTCAATCAGTTCCAAAATTAATATTTTTCTTGCTTTACATACATATAATGTTTTTTCACTTAAGCGAGAACCATGCTAAACTGTGGACCTTCCTCTACATAAGAGTCTTCAGGTCTATTTTCTGTCTTTGTCAAATTTCATCATCATCATCAGCCTATAAGTGCCCACTGCCGAACTAAGGCCTCTTCTCACACTAAGAAGGTTTGAGCGTTATTCACTACGCTTGCTCATAATGGATTGGCGATTTCAATCTTACATATAATTAGAAATTATAAAGTTCAAGTTTCCTCACGTTTCCCTTCACGTTCAGTGTTATCTAAATAGTCAATGAAAGTAAATACTTATAATTCGGAAATAGTCACAAATTTTGAAACTACCTTCATGTATAAGAAGCCGGTGCTGTTATTTATTCAACTTTGACTGAAGAAAAGGGACTTTTTTATGTTACAGTACGACGACAATTAGTTTAGCACCGGCCTTAGACACCCACCAACGGAGTAGTTAGCGGAACTTTTGGGGATTAGGAGGATTGGGTTTTTGCAGATTTAAGGATTGAGGGATGGAAAACATCGGGCCTCAGACCTCACTCACACGGCGAAACACAACGCTGTGGTTGTGTCACGTCGGTTTTCTATGAGGCCCTGGTATCGCTTTGGTCGAGCCGACTCATTCATGCCGAAATTTGGCTCTCCCACACTCAGTGGTGGATGGTTCCATAAATGTATTCTTCCTAATTGTCTCCACACTAGCGTAAACAGTACGATACAGTCACGTTAGCAAATACACAGAATAAGCATTCATAAGTACCTCCGGACTCCAAACTTAAGTACATACCGCTTGTATCAAACAAGCTGTTTAAATCAAACCTATGTATAATCAATTAATCTAATTAAAATGTCCTCCTTAAGAGATTAATATTGAATTGTAACCAACATTTGCACAGCACTGGACTCAGGCTAGACTGCTCAAGGAGTAATCCATTTGTCTAATTAGTTACCGTGATTTGAACCCTATATATAAGGAGTTAAGGTTGATCTTAGATCTTTATATCAAACAATTTCCTTAGTAGGTACTTGGTCGAAAATGCACTTGTGATGGCTTCGGTAGAGCAGGTGTACTTGTTATAACAGCAGTAAGACCCCTATTTGAGTAGTGGCTTGAGAGACGCCACGGCGTGCTCACCTTCCACCTGACGCAGGTGCTTACCGGGCACGGCACCTTCGGTAGGCTCCTGTTTCGAATCCGGCGGGAGGCAACGTCCGAGTGTCGTCATTGTGAGAACTACCCTGAGGACACGGTGGAGCATACGGTGTCCCCTGCTTGGGCTCAGCACCGCCGTGTCCTAAGGGAATTGATCGACAGCAGCGATGTCTCATGCCCAGCCTTAGTCGAGGCAATAGTGCGTAGCGGGAACGGGAGTTCTCTCTGACACTCTGTCACGTTCGACCTTGGACGGGAGAAGTCATTTGATCATTTTCCCCCACAAAAAAGGGCAGGTACTTAGGCTACGGTTACAGCTTAACAGCCCCCCAGAATCTACCACAGAGGATGGTAGTCATGGTAGATTCTTACTTCTTATCCCAGTCAGGGCGTGAATAAACATTTCAGGATTTCTCCTCTTTAAAAAAAAGGGTACAAGGTGTAGTAAGAACGGTAAAATGTGTATTTCCAGACAATAATCGAGCTCTTTGCCAAATTTCATTGAGATCCGTTCAGTAGTTTTTACGTAAACAGACACATACAGACATCGATCCATCCATCTACATAATAATATACTTTTAAACTTTCTCACTTATATTATTTATTTAAAATAGAATTTTATATACAAAATTTCCCTATTTATGTACAGGCATCGCAAATAATATAAATTCTCAGAAACATAATGTAACTACAGATAAATTGTATCAACCAAAGTGTTTACGTATCAAATTATTAGGTTAAAATTCCCCGGGATGTGCCATTGACCATGTAGCTTAAGTTAAGAGAATAAGGTTGATTTTTCAATGGTTGTACCGTTAGTTAGATACGA